CTTCTGTTTTTTCAAAAAAAATGTCTCTTATCTTTTATGGGTGTAACAAGTTCAAGCCATCTTTTGGTTGGCCTTTCGTCATGCTCATTCCTGCCTCTTGGACTTGGGGCTGATCCCATCGCTGGGCTCTGTTTGGCTGCTGGGGTCTGTGCAGGGTGGTGGGCAGCTTGTTCTCCTGCCTTGGTCCTGCTGTGCTGCCAGGGGGTGCAGAGGAGGCCAGGCTGGTGCCGAGCAGGGCTGCCTCAGCCTGGAGGAGATGTGCCCATGACATGTAAAGATCTTATATATAGCGTGCAGATGCAATGTGAAGGGAGAGAGGGATTGTGAGGAGACGTGTGCTGTTGGGCTGATGTGGTCTTTCCTTTTTTTTTGGTTTTTTTTTTTTTTGTTTTTCCTTAGAACCGATGCTGGGAAGCCAGGGTGCAGCGCAGGAAGGCCAGGACGCTGTGACCATGGAGCAGCTGAAGGTAGGTGTGACAGGGCTGTGACCCACCAGGGCTGCAAAGATGTGGGGTTGGGAATGGAGCAGCTGAAGGGAGGTGTGACAGGGCTGTGGCCCACCAGGGCTGCAAAGATGTGGGGTTGGGAATGGAGCAGCTGAAGGTAGGTGTGACAGGGCTGTGACCCACCAGGGCTGCGAAGATGTCGGGTTGGGAGCCGGCTGGCAGCGCAGCCTGCAAGGGGGGGTTTCACATGAGCCGAGGGACCGGGTATGAGTGAGGGTGGTGCAGGAGCAGGAGCTGTGACAGTCTCCCTGTTGGCACCATGGCTTTATAGGCAATTAGTTATCCCGACTGAGCACTGATTGGCGGAGGTGGGTGATGTGGGTAGTAACCCCACACTCGCTCCCCATTGCTGTACAACGACCTCCTGTTTTTCCAGTATATTGCCACAGAGACAAAGCACCAGCCATTGACTGGGAGCGATGGGGACGGGACTGGCTGGCTCGTCAGCCCCTGGCCGTCTCCATGGACGGGTGCATCTGCTCCCCTCCTCCTTTCAGGGCCGCTTGCTCTGAGAAGGGAAGGGCCCATGGTGGAGCCGCAGTGATTTATAGGCAAGGCGAGGATGGGAAATGGGAACACAAACACATGGCCTGCATCGGAAATTGGGCTCAGCCGGCCCAGTGATTTATCTGTGCCGAATTCCGCTTCGCTGCTTCCCTCAGCTGCATTTTCAGTTATTTGTTTTAAAGCGTAGGATTGAGCAAGACAAACAAAGCCAGCGCCCCTCTCCTCCCTTCCTCTCCGGCAGTCGCCACTGACTTGAAAGATGGTGGCTGGGAAGGAAGAC